AATACGTTTTTCAATTAAATTTAATTGAAAAACGTATTCTCAAAATACGTTTTTCATGTAAAATTTTTTGGTGGGCACTGCCCACCGTGGGCAGGGGATCAGATCTAATATGTATTAACCATGTTAAATTAATACATTTTTTTTATAAATATATTAGGCTTAATTGCACAAAAAATCCTCATATTCTGTGTAATTGCAAATAAAACTCAATTTTTTAACCTTTGCAATTAAATACCAAGTTTTTATTATGTATTGTAAATCTGTCTCAAATCATTTTCCGGTCAATCCTTTTTGACGTGTCCGATCAGAAACCTTACGTGGCACTTATGAGACTTGTGTAGCACCAATCTTTGAAACTTCTCACCATGTTTTACCACATCATATGCCAACAAATTAACCAAAATTAGAGTTTAGTACCAATTGAAAAAATAAGATTTTATCACCATGTTTTTTGCTCCATCATCTTCACAAAAGTTGAGTTCTTCTCTCCCAATAAAAAAAAAATATATATATTTTCAACGAATCTTCTCTTCTCTGTGGCGCACTTCCTCACCCCGAAAAATCGAGTTCACCCCCAACATTCCGAATACATTTACGAGCTCACCCCCAAATTCTATAAAATTGGGTAGAGGGAGCAATTTTCGAGTGATTTTTAGGTGATTTTAGTGTTGTGATCGGACACATCAGTAAGATTGGCAGAAAAATGATTTTGGAACAAATTTGCAACACATAATAAAAGTTTGGTATTTATTTGCAAAAATAAAGAAAAGTTAAATTTTATTTGCATTTTGACATAGTAATCATTATGTTTCACCTAAATTAATTATAATATTAGATATATATAACTATATTTATAATTTTACAACTCATCTAGGTCCCAAAAAAAAATAAAATAAAAAAATATCTCTTTATGTTAAGTACAACATATACAAGAAGCAAACTCACTACAAATATCAAGCAACAAATCACAGTGAACCAGAAGATCAATTGAGAGATCACATGTAGTTTCAAAAGCCTAAATATATAGCATAATTCATGATTTGCTCATCCACTCATAGGCCATAGCCAAAAATTATAAGGTAAAGAATAAACTAAGCACACCTGAGCTGTTTCAACCAGCTCCATGCAAATGGCCTTAGCCAAACAACAACAAGAAGAAGATGCAGCTGCAACTATGAGCTCTAATTTGAGCCTGGATGATTATAAGCCTCTTCGAAGGAAAAAAAATAAAAAAATAAATGAAAAAACTTCGAAATTTATATTGTCCCGAAGAGTAACTTTAAGCATACGAGTTAAGTAGATTATGAGGATTGTGCATGTGCATCAAATAGAGCCATATGTTCTTTCATTAGCTCTCCATGGCCTTTGAGTAGAATTTGGTTGCTGATCCCACGGAGTTTGATTTGCAAAAGGATTATTAGCATCATCTGGGCGTGTATAGCTGCCTTGCAAACCTCCACTTGCCTGCATGTTTTCTTTCAGGTTAATATAGAACCAATCGTTCATGTAAATGAGTTTTAGCTCATTGTTACCCAAAAGGAAAGGGATGACAGGCAGACAGATCAGTTCTCTTTCAGAATTAAACACACGTTTGAGGTTAACTTAGTTCAAATATCGCCACTGAGGATGCAATTTGTAAAATGTGAACAAATATCAAGAGTGCTTGTTGTAATCTTGAAAGATAGCTAAGCTCTGTTTCGTGATTTGAAACAGCCTCGAGATTACTTTTTATAGTTAATCACAATATTAGAGATTGCCCAGTTTACCACAAGTAAACTGTACTTACAGTTTCCAAACATGCCGATAATATTGCCATCCCTGGTACTGCATCAAGCCCTCGCTGCAAGTGTTAGGCTCAAAATTAAGATCAGCTAAACAACATCCTACAAATACAAAGAACTGTACGAAAAAAGATCGATCATTGAAGATACAAATTAACATACCAGGTTTGTCACTCTTGTCCTATATATAAACCCTCCAATGCATAACAGTGTGAAGGCTACAATTGATCTGTTTCACAAAAGCAACACAAAGCAGCTTAACAACCAATGATATTTAATTTCTGAAGAAGATGATGTGCAGGAGAGTATCACAAAAGGTTCCTTCAAATGCAATGAATTTTCAAGAATAAATTGACATACATGCAAGATATGATTCCAAATATGGCCCAACCTCTAGTAGCTTCGCCACGTTCACCTTGGCTGTGTTCTATAAAAGTTATGAGGTAAAATAGAAACAAAAGTAAGAAGGCAATAGTTAGGTTTAACAAGCCATAAGGAATCATAAGAAGTAGCAGAAGCTGAGTTAACAAGCCCTATAATAGTTAGTATGGCTGAAAATATCCAAATAGCATCTCTTTCCATCATGCTAATCAGGTATAACAGCCAACTTACCCCAGACGTTTAGGCCAATTATTAAAAATACACTTATCTGGTAAACTAAATTACATCCCAGAAATTCATGTCCATTGTTCAAGTGCCACCTCAAGGTAAAGGGATTTATTAAGCAAATTTAACCTAAAGGGGTGTTTATAGTACATTTATTTATGTATTTATTTTATTTATTTATTTATTTATTTTTTGGTCGGGAGTGGGGTTGCAAAATCTAAACAAACGGTTTTTTATTATAGCTAAATATCAGGTTCTTTTTGTCTGTGCAACGATTGCCAGGTACTGAGAAAGTGGGAATGGGGTGAAAGTAAATTAATGCTCACCACACATCTTTGCAAGAGTAAACTGAATTGGGTCATAATTCTCCACTGGAATGGTAATTTCAACTTCATAAGGTGTAGCACGAGTCTTTTCACCTAAAACATTAAGCAAAGTTAGAACACAGAGTGGGCCCAGTTTGTATGTCAGCCCAATTTAACGGGATTACGAGGCATTTTACATCGCCAGTCCACAAGTATCATAGTGGGAGACAAGGTAGTTGGTGGCCTGCCGTCTGCTCCAGAACCAGATAACTGAACAACCAATCCTTGTTCCGGAGAAATCTGAAAGAAAACAATGTGTCCGAACAAAAAGAACAGGAAAATTAGAACTCAATAGAATATAATCACTTGGCCAAACAGAAGGATATTAATAACCTTGACCGTAGGTTTTTGAACTAAATTCGAGACGGAAGCAACTGCAGTTAAGTATAGGGTCACATCCCTTTGCTCAGTTCTGAAGCTGCACACATAAAATTGAGTTCAGAACGCCATGAGAGTCATAGTATAACGGGATATAGTACCTAAAACGATTCATTTTCAGAGGGGAAAAAAAGGTAAGACCACAGACATGTCACTTTATAAAAAAGTGTAATCGATCTTTGACAAATAAGATCCGAGTTACATG